GCAGTTCAGCGCACGGCACACGGCACACGGCACACGCCACACACCACGGCGCACGCCACACGCCACGGCGCACGCCACGGCCACTGCTTTGGCTCAGTCGTGTTATTACTGGTTTTAAGTCATTTCAGTCTTCGCTCCCTGTGTGACCTTCTTCCTATTTAAGTTAAAAGATCCCAGTGGGCAAAGCACACGCCATTTCTCCACATCCCTCAAAAGCTGCGTTCGCTATGCGTCTGATCAGCTCACAGTCGTGATAACCTTTTCCCGATTTCAGAGCAGTTCTCTTACTAACGAAAAAAAAGGTGAAATAGTTAAGTTGAATTCCCCTGAATTTTGTTTTAAGGACACTGTGAAACTCCCTCAGATCACTGGGCGTAAAGGTTTCCTCCGTGCCAGCTCAGCCAGGCGGCCGTCCTCACAGCCCAGGTCTTTAATGAGTCTGGTCTCCACGGGCGTTTTCACCGCAAACCTAAATGTTTACGTTCACTTCCAAAACTCCAGAGCATCCGGCTCGTAATGTTCCGTTCAAAACACACGCTCTGTGCGGCTGATGCGACTTGGCTGAGACTGTGCGAGACGGACTCGTGAGAACACGCCGTGTCCACGGGCCACTGCCGACCAGACGGACTCGTGAGAACGCACCGTGTCCACGGGCCACTGCCGACCAGATGGACTCGTGAGAACGCGCCGTGTCCACGGGCCACTGCCGACCAGACGGACTCGTGAGAACACGCCGTGTCCACGGGCCACTGCCGACCAGGCCGGGTTGGCAAACGAGCCGTGGGGCCAGGTCAGGGGCTCTGAGCCCTTCCACGCACGAACATACTAGGACACGGCCGCTGCCCGTGGCTGGAGCTGGGCTGGCTGCAGAGCACGCGGGGCATGGTGGCGCCAGGCGCTCAGACGTCAGGGAAGCTAGTGCCCACGCCTCCCCTTTGCCCGAGTGGGTCCCCATCTGCCTGTGGCGACAGGAAGGAGGGGAGCCTGGACGTGGGGAGCCGTTGGGGGCACGGCCTTGGCCAACGGCCAACCTCCGTCCCTGACCAGCCTCCCTGGTCCTGGCGCCTACTGCTGACAGCTCTCCACAGCCCGTCGCGCTGCCACTCGGCCTGGGTGGAGGCGACCGCAGCCTCCTCCTCGCAGCACCTGCTGCCTCCCGCTGCGTCCCGGGCGAGGCGTCACGGTCCGCCCTGGCGGCCAGCCCTCCCAAGTCCAGCCGTTCCTGCTCCAGGCCCCTGACCCGCTCCCCCGCGGCTGGGACAAGGCCACCCTCCTGTCCCCTGTGGGCCCTCCCCCACTTCCTCGCTGGCTCTCTGGCCACGCACCCTCCACAGTGCGCGGCCTGAGTGTCCAGACTCGGTGCTGACCCTGCTGAGTCCTCCTGCAGCCTCGTCAGCCACAGGGAGTCTGGGCATGGGAGAGAGGGGAGGTCAGTCTGCTCTGCTCAAAGCCGACACTGCGGGTGGCCACTTGCCGTCCCCAGCACCCACGCCACCTAGAGAGCAGCCACCACCAGACACCACGGCATCTGCTGACAGCATCCCAGACTGTCACCCACAGCGAGACCAGCAGACACGACCCCTTCTGGACTCTGCACCGGCCCAGAGTCCTCAGCCCTGAACCACAGACGACAGACTCCTCCCACCCCTGAACGGCTCACCCCCCCTGCCTGGACTGCACGGCGCCCTCAGCCTGGGGCACACGCCGACACCCAGGCCTGGCCCCGCTCCAGCCCACAAACCCTTTCGTTCAGAGCCGCTTCCTTCCGGCCTCAAAGGCTTCTGCCAGCGGCAGACGGTCGTGTGGCCGACCGGGCCTCGGCGGCCCCCTGCCTTCCTCAACCAGAGCGGGGCGTCTGAGACGCCGCGTGTGCAAGGACGAAGCGGGGGAGGGCGGTGCGCATCTGCGCATCTGACGGCACCACAGCCATGCCCGAGCTGGCGGAGAAGTCGGCGTGGCCTTGCACACCTCGGGGTCAGCAGGCGGCCGCCCAGTTCCAGGCGCTGAAGCGAGCGCACAGGCCCGGGGAGAAAGCTGCCGGGTTCGAACTCGCTTCTGTCCAGGGCGACCAGGCGCAGAGGGCGCCAGGCGTTCGCGGCCGGGCCTCCCACTCGCCAGCTGTCAAGGTGAAACGACTCCACAGCGAAGCCCGCCCGGGAGCCCCATGGCCGGCAACGCACGAGGCCCGCCCGGTGCGGGGTCGTCGGGCATCACGCAGCCTCCGGCGAGCCTGCCTGGGGACACAGCGCTGACAGCAGGGACGGCCACCGGCTCTGCCGGGTCACAGCTCAGGGCTGCAGTTACTCCTGTCAGTCAGAGTGGGGTCCACTTAGTTCAGCTTCTACATGTCCCAGAGGCCTTGGGCACTTGGAGACTTGAAGGACGAAGGCGATGTGACTTGCTCGAGCCATCCCGCCAGCTCAGAGGCCGTGCTCCTTCCTGCAGCACGTGTGGGTCCGCTGTTCCTGCTGCTGCCCGACGCCGGGCAGGGCTCTGAGAGGACAGTGTGGACGACGCAGACACGTCTCTGCTGCGGAGACCTGCACGCTGGAGGGGGACGGGGGGCCACGAACGGCAAACAAAACCGATGCGTCAGACACCGATGAGCAGCAGGCAGGAGGGGGCAGGGGACGGGGCGCTGGGCCCACACAAGGGCACAATGCAGCTGACAACTGGCGTCTGGGCTGATGGAGGCGCCACGGGGCCCTGCGGCAGGAGCCGCGGGCGGGGCCAGGGACGGCGCACAGACTGAGACCCCCGGGGGGGCCACAAACGGCAAACAAAACCGATGCGTCAGACACCGACAGGCAGGAGGGGCAGGGGACAGGGCGCTGGGCCCACACAAGGGCACGAAGCAGCTGACAGCCGGCGTCTGGGCTGACGGAGGCGCCACGGGGCCCCTGTGGCAGGAGCCGCGGGCGGGGCCAGGGACGGTGCACAGACCGAGGACCCCGGGGTCGGGCACGATGGGACGCGGAGAGATGGTGCTGGCGGGGGGGCCTCGGACCCTGCAGGGGACGGGGCAGGAGCAGGACTCGGCGACGGGTTTAAGCGTCACTGCCCGCCATGCCGTGGACAGACTGCAGGCATGCGACACCAAAGCAGGCCCAGCAGCTGAGGAGGGACGTCGGTAACGGCGGCAGAGGGGCGGAGTGTCCAGGCCGACGGAGGTGGCGTTTGGAGAGGGCGGGGTGCAGCCTGCAGGAAGAGCAGCAGGCCTCGCTGGCAGGCCGGGCGTGGGGTGACGAGGAAGGCCGTGACGCAGGCCTAGGGCTGTGGGGGGGACCAGAGCGTGACAGCACGTGGCATCCAGAGGTTGTAACATGGTTGAACACGTGTGATGCTGGTCGCAGACCCAGTAATGGGTGAAGCACCGGGCCAGACGCCACGGGGCGGGGCGGGACAGAGGCGTGGGTAGCGAGGGCGTCCCAGAGGGGTCTGCCTGCAGTGACGCCACAGGACAGCGTAACCTGTGATGCACGCAACATCGAGTCACGCTGATTTCCTAAGATGACACAGCCGACGAGTTCGGGAATGGCCAGACCTCAGTACCGCGCCTGGACGCTGCGTTCCCACCTGAGGCGGCGAACCAGCTGTCGGCCACTCCCGCGTGGCACGCTGGGGGACGTCGCTCACCGCGGTGAGGCCCAGTGGCCCTGGCACCTGAGTCAGCCTCTTCTACAATTCGTATCACGATCGGCAGGTTCTGTTTAACGGCTTCGGCCGAGGGAGGGGTGAGTGTGAACGCCCCGCGTAGCGCTCTCCCGCTAGGAATGGCACGCGCTTCACGCACCTGGCGCTTCCCGTCTGCTCGCACGGGGCTGTCGGCGGCTGCGCCCCCACGACGACTTCTAGTGGACACATCACTCCTGTGTCAGCATCATCTGGGTCCCGGCTGGAGCTGGGAAGGCTCATCACGCAGAACGACCTCCGTCTTCTCCACGCTTGCTCACGGGGACAAGAAACGTGGCTCCCACTTGGGGCGGCTCACACCACAGGCGCCCACAGGGTGCCGGCTGCACGAAACGGGTGCTGGGAATACCAGCACGCGGGTGCCAGAGGCCATCCCTGCCCCTCGTGCCATCCGATTCTGTTTAACACGCTGCTCTGGAACGGAACGGCCCGCAGCCTGGGAGAACGGATTCAAACGCACAGGACCAAGGTCTATTCTTTGACTACGTTCGGTCTAACTTCTCCTGAGCAAACCAAAGGGGCTCGAGCAGGGACCTAGCGAGAGGGAAGAGGCCATTTCACTGACTTATGAGAAGAACCGCTGAATGATAGTCGTATAATTTCACATACTTTCTAGATATATTTATTGGTATAATATAAACTCGGCAAAGGAGATACTATTTCACTGAAGCGATCATTTCATTCTAATAACCTCAGAATTATATAAGTTGATAGTTAATAAAAATATAACAGATAATTGTGATTTACCTTCTGCATAGAAATGCATGAGGTCAAACAGAGACATCAGAGACTCAGCTAAAGTGATTTCACGTAGCAGCTACTTTAGAAACATGAAGTACGACCCCAGTTCTAACCTGCTAATGTGACGCCCCACCAGGCTCCGACGTTTTGGGGACGCGGATTAGTGGACACATTTTCCCCACTGTCGTAATAGCCACTAAAACTGCAGCCCCTTATTCCTGTACCGACTTTGAGCTAAATGTCTTTCTATAAATATTCTGAATAGATTATATTTTTAACATCTTTGTTACACTAACATGTATTATCTTATAATTTATAATTGCGCATCCTTTAAAACATGAGATCTTTTAACCATCTATTCAGAGTAGTGTATTAAGCTGGGCAGCGAAAGAGCTTACAACCCTGTACTATTGATTTCACTATAAATTCCGTGTAAAGCAGCCTGAGTAAGGGCCGGGACTGGAAACAGCCGGAACCTCCAGGTCCCGATCGGATCCTTGCTAACATTTTCTTGTACCGGTTGAAAATAAGTGATAATCGGAACTATTTTAAGAGGGAGTAATGAAATATTTATAACTTGCATGTAACTTTAAATTTAGCGGCTTACTAAATTAGAACATTTAAAATAGGTAATGGGAAAAATAAATACATTAAAAAAAAAAACAAGAAAGTTTTACACTTGCTATATATGCACCTGTGTTGCAATATAACCTAGAACTTGCTGGGGAAAGTCTGATCATATAAGTGGTGAGTCCGATTACTTCTTACGTGTTTAACTTCCACATAAAGTGATATCAATGAGCGCTAAACGTTACATTTTTAAACTTAATTAGTAAAATGAATTCGAAGTTAAAAATAGGGTAGCTTAATCAGGATTTAGAATCTAATGGCGGGAATCTTACAACACGTACATTTGTAGCATTTCTGTGACATCGTTTTGCTGTGGAATTTTCTAAAAGTGCATAGAGTTTTGCAAACTTACGAAGACAGCCATTTATAGACACTTTGAACTACGAAAGCTCATTAATGAAGAAGGAGCCTGTTTTCTCGGTCGTGTGTCTGTTGGTTGGTCTCACGTGCTTCGTTTCGACCCCGGCCTCGTGTCAGGCTGGGCCGGGCGCCGGTGCTGACGCGTGTTTGTCGGCGGCTGACGAGCCTGAGGCCTCGCAGGAGGCAGCGTGAAGAGAAGGGAGGTGCCCGGTCCGCGGGCGGAGAGGGGGCGGGGCCGAGCGGCCACGGGGAGACCCCGCCCCCCGGCAGTGAAAGCCGCACACGTCTCCAGCCACGTGGCACAAGCCGGGCTCTGGACTGGGAACCTGGGGAGGCCACCAACGCTGCAGGACAGGCCCACTGACCCCTGGCCTGACGGACGACATGGCACTGGAGTCCTGAGCGGATGTCCTGGGGGCAGAAACGCAGGACGTGCCTGGGCTGCGGGCGGCAGGTACCAGGAGACGAGGTCCTTCCCGGAGGTGGCTCTCCTAATGCACGATCCACAGAGGACACGCTGACAGCTCCTTGATCAAGCGCTTCTGTGATGGGGACTGTGATGTACTGCGGTGCCACCAGATGCCAGGCCCCGTTCAGTGACCAGGGCGTCGACCCACCGCCAGAACCGGGCCCACTGCCAACACTGCCTCTTGGCCACCAGCCTGTGCACGTCGGCCGGAGGGAAGGGACAGGCCGCGTTGAGGCCCTGGGCGGCCCTGGCGCCCGTGGAGGGCAGCGGCTGGGACCCGTAAGAGAGAAGAAACGCAGCTGCCGATGGGCGCTGAGCGGGCCACGGGAGCAGGGGTGCAGGCGGAGGCGGGGTGCAGGGCGGCCTGGATGGTGCTGCGTGGCCTGGACGGTGCTGCACGCTCTGGTGTTCCGGGAGGGCAGACAGGGTTGCCGACGCTCGCCTGGCAGGGGCTGGCGGGGCTCGGGTGCCAGCAGCTGACGAGGCGTTGGCGATGGCGGACAGTGACAGGTGCTGCACACCAGCCGTGGCCATAGGCCACAGGCCGGTCTTCGGGGTCCACAGTGCTCTAAGGCCACGGCTCCAGGTTCCTGGCCTTGGGCACGCCCACACCCGCGACACAGCACCGCCAGCCCTGACACCTACTCACTCAGGGCCACCGATGACAGCTGCCCAACAACACCTGAAGTCGACAAAAGCAATTGTTTTACAAAGACATATTCAAAACGGACAACCCCGGCGACAATTTTAGACCTTAGAAATTCACATTTGGAAACACCGTAAACTCTAACGAGAAAACCTTTCTTCCGAGCGCGTAACAGGCTGTTTCCAGCACACGGCTTCTCGGGCAGTGACCGTGCCTTGTGTCTTTAAACAGCTAGTGTCGCTCCACTGCCCTGAGTCTGCCACCAAGGTCACGGACACGGCAGCAGGGACAACTCCGAGTTTGAATACAAGACAGTTAGGAAGTCACTCAAAAGGGCCACACTAGTAGGTGGGCACGCTGCCTTGACAGAAAGCGGTGAGCTTGGCAGCGCTTTGCCGTGACACACAGTGAGGCCCCCAGGGTGACGTGAGCGGGGACAGGACCCGTGAGGACAGCCAAAGGTGACGGTTCTCACGCAGAAGAGGAGGAAAGGACTCTCGGGCACGGAATGCGTTTATCGGGGGTCCCTGCTTTCATCCTGTTTCCTAAACTTGTAAGAGAAGTGGCCTGAAGGGCGGTGACAGGCCACGCACAGCGCACAGCAGGGCCGGCCCTGAGCCTGGCTCAGAGGCTGTGGGGCGGGCGCATGGTGGCCCGCATGCAGGCGCTGGCCCTGCGGGGAGCCGAGAGCAGCCGCAGATGGGCCTCGTGAGCCCCCGGCCGTGTCGATGCCCTCGCCCCCGGCCGCTGCCCGCTCCCTGCTGAGGCCGCCGTCAGGCCTCCTGCCCCGCCTTCCACAGGGCCCCGGCCTTCCCCCGCACCCCAGCAGAGGCCGCAAGAGGCCTGCTGCCGTCGCTGTGCCCGCCAGTCGAAGGCATTCTCTCATGGTGGGGGGACGACGCTGTCACTGCCAAGGGATCCCGTGCTGGGACACTCCCGGGGTCCGCACCACCACGGAGGCATGGGTGCCATGGGGTGTGGGGGCGGCCAGCAGGACAGGGTGGCACACACCCATGGGGTCTGCCGTGGGGTGTGGGGATGGCCGGCAGGACAGGGTGGCGCACGCCTGTGGGGTCGGCCGTGGGGTGCCGTGCTGCACGGCCAGGCCGCCGCTGCGGGGAGGCCCGTGTTGGGCCAGCGTCCGCGGCTGACAGTCCTCGCGGGCTCCGGGATGCCGGAGGTCGGGGGACCTGCGGCCAGGCGCTGGGGGCCACAGACACCCGCCCACGAGTTAAAAGCCCACGCTCAGCCGCGGGCGGGACGACCGTTCGGGGCGAGGCGTGTTGACGTGGGGACTGCTCCGCCTCTCACAGCCCGTCCTGTTCCTGCTCTGCCCGTCCCGTCCCTACAGACACGAGCGGCCTGCGGAGCACGCTGGTCACGAAACGAAAGCCAAACTGCAGGGCGGGTCGGGGAGCACGAGACGTTCCAGACGGCCGCGGGCCAGCGAGGAGGGCGCCTCGGCGAGCGTTTCGTGGGTGTGGAGGCGCCGGGGTGACCCCCACCCCACGGCCACTGTGCCAGTGGGATCAGGAATACACGGGGAGGGGACACCGGGGCCGAAAGGCCGCCAAACACAAATGCCGCTGACACCCACTTGAGACCACTGAAAGTTCAAGTAGCTATTGTCATGCTCCACTCAACAGAAGGTTATGGGATGTAACGCGAACCCGTTTTACACTTCCTTCTGACCGAAACCTTTACAATTTGCTATTATGTTTCTAAACTGTTATGTCACTAGTTTAAAATCACGACGTGCCTGAATATACATGTTGCCTTAGGTTAAAAACAGAAAAAATATAATGTGAAAAAAACGCTGATGAAATTCATACGTGTAATCAAAATAACAACAAACTATAATAGTAACGAAAAATGTTTTTGCGTCCCGGGGCAGGCCCAGTCCCTAAGTGCACGAGTCATTCCACTGCCACCTCCGGCCTCACCGTACCTTTCACGTCTTCGTCCTCGATGGTCGTGTTGGAGCTCTCTGTCGATTCCTGTGGGGGAGAAGACGCATTTTAAGTTGCAAACAATGAACAGCTTGACCTTTTTCTTCTTAAAAAACTGGTGAGTGACGTTCACATCATGCAAAACTCTTCGGCAGGCTGTGTGCATACGCTGACATGCAAACGGACACGCACATTACATGGTTTTAACGGGAATAAAATGCAAACAGATGCTACAAACGTTTAGGAAAGGGAGGGCTCTGGTCGCCTCGTCTCTGAAGCAGGAAAAATCCAGGTGATCTGCAGACTCAGCCGAGCGTGCAGCTTATTTTCAGAGCTGCCTGAGGACATGTCTGTGCTTTTCCTACGTATTTATGAGAGACTGACTATGTTAGGCGAATGGATTTGAACCTTCAAAAGAATAAGTTTTATTCTCGACCAGTTAACGGCCCCATGTTTGTGCAGGGCAGTTAGTGACGTCTGGCGCTGAAGCCGCGGCCTGCCGGCCCGCCTCAGGCCTCTGTGGAGGAAGGTGTCATCGCTCCACGTGCTGCGGGAGGGAAGGCGTTAAGGCGAGCTGAGCCGAGTTCCAGAGTCTCCGTGTCTGGGATGGGTCGTCGCAATGGAATCGTAACGGACAATTTACTCTGAAGAACAACTGGACTCTTCTCGTTCGTATCTGAACTAGAAACTGGCCGTTACTGATAAGGATCCCACTCCCATAACGAAAAGACAAAGCTATGTCTTCGTAAAACTACAAATAAGTCGGAGATTAATAACACACTTGAAAGACCACCATAAGCGCCAGCATTAAGACACGTTCCTTAAAAATGCTGACAAATTTTTTGATTAATAATGAAGTTTCTAGCAAAGAAATTGAGTAATAATCAGGAGACACCACTTCCTACGTGGGATGATTAAAGGCTAGAGCCACAAAAAACTGGAAACAATTTCCGAACGACAGCTACGTGCTCAGTGACGAGGGGCAGATCGGGGACGGTGCTGCAGCGTCCTTCCGGAGGCTCGATGCTCACAACAGTGACCAGCGTCCACGGCTACCACGCAGCACGTTTAACCAGAGGGACAGACTAGACGCATCCGGACTCTCCATCCACACAAAACCGAAAGGTCTTCATGCGTTTAACGTGACCGAGAGCTCAAACTTGAACTGCACATGAAGTGAGCCCATGCACCGAAGAATAAACTAGTTCACGCGAGCCAGACAGGTCGTGCAGTTGCTCGGACACACGACAGCTAGCCACGGCAGTGTCCTGCGGTCGGCCGGGCTCTCCCCTAGGTGTGGGATCCTGACGTCCCTGATCCCTGCGGGAGCTGGGGACAGTGCAGGGGCCGTGGCTGTGAGACGCGTCTGATAGAGAGCGCAGCGCTTCATGTTTTTACTTTAATGATTTTAATACTGGTCAACTAAACGTTAAACCAGAGAAAGCAGCGTTTTCCGACTCGAACTCGGCTGTCGGAGTGGGGGAGCCGGGCGCGTCTCTCTTCCCCGAGACGCGGCGACGTGTGAGGAGGGACGAAGGGTGTGGGAAGCGTGTTCCAGAAAACGCCTCGTCGGCTCTGCACAGGGACACGGGGCTGCGGCTTCGTGGCTACGCCGTGCGAAGGCGCAAGCGTGAGCCTCTCTCAGCACAAACGGGTAAACGTCTGTGACTGAAATGCACACGACGTGACACAAACATACTTCACGAGAAGCGAAATGCCTGTTTTCTCCACAAACGCATGCCGAACCACAGCACCAACGGAGAGTTAAAAGGAAAACAACACACTATGGCAACGGAATAAAGAAACTCGAAAGCAACACGAAACTTAAATACTTCTGAAGTCAAACTGATTTTTTTGAAGACAGTGGAACGATCTAGCAAGAAATTCTAAAATGTCATGCAGAACACGTCTAAAGTAATGCAAGCCAGGCGTGGAGAAGACCAGACGGACTTGCTGACACACGGTCAGCCTGACACAGAGACTCTTATCGACCGCAAAGGACGGTGCCTCCGCTGCTCTGTCAAGATGGCACGCGTCCCCTCGAAGGGGTGTGTGTGCATGCAGTCCCCGGGGCATCGGGGCCGACGCGGGGCAGGGGGCAGGGAGGAGGCCCCCCCGCCCGCACTCGGGCACTGCGCGTGTCCCGGGACGTGTGCCTGGGACGTGGCCCCTGGTGACGCGAGGCGCCGTCGATCCCGGTACCTTGTTTCCGTCGGGGTTGTGGATTACAGTGGTTTGGGGCTCCTGAGTGAGAACAGAGAGAGAGAGAGAGACAGTTCGCGTCGGTCAGCGCATTCTCACGGGTGTGAGGGACAGAGCACAGCGAGCCGCTGACGAGACGGACAGTGGCGAGCGCAGAAGCGGTGGCCCTGCGTCGGGCCGGGCGCGTGCCGCGCCCCCAGCAGCACAGACCTCATTCGTGCCGGCGTCGGCCAGGCGGGAAGGCTGCGGACCAGAGGCGGCGGGCACTGTTTCACAAAGCCCCGCGCCACACAGGGCTGGCCTCCCCCACCGGCGAGTGGCCTGTCGGTGTCTGTCCCGTGGGAACTGGCTAAGGACACGGGACATCAGACACTGGGAGGGTCTCGAATTGATTTCCCAGCTGCAGCACTTTGAGAACAGATCATGGTGTCATCGCTGTCACAGACAGCCTGGCAGGTCCGAGACCACTGGGCCACGCTCACAGGGGGCCGTCCCAAAGAACACAGTTCAAAAGCCCACAGGAAACTCGGGGGCATTTGAAAGGTTCATTTAAAGGGCTCTAGGGCTAATCACGTCATCACTATAATTTGAGACATACTGCTGTCGGGTCCTGTGTCAATTCATTTCTGAAAGAAGTTTCTGCTTTATAGAATATGTAAGATTTGCTTGTAAAGCCACGTTTTTCCACAAAGAAAATATTAATTTTCCTATTGCTCTCCACCAGAAAACTGAAGAACTACTCCCAAGCGAAAACGACGCCGTGATCACCGACGTCAGGAGACGGTGTCCACACGCCGAGGGCGCGCGTGGCGCCGTGACGTGCTGTCCCGCCAACGGGGCATCGCGCGACCCGCTGCGGGCTCGCCAACCTCACTGGGCGCGTGCTGACGCTGCCCGCGGCCCGCTGGCGCGAGACCGGCCGTCGTCACCGGAAGGCGGCCGCGTCGTGGCATATGCCCTCCCTTTAGCTGTTTTTGAGCTGAGCCTTCTGGTTGACCAAAGTGGATTCATCCCCCGACATTTTGGATTCATTGAAAAGAGGACTGACCGAGGACCGTAATAAAGCAGAAATATTTCTGAAAATCATAAATCAAAGCGTGGAATCGTCCGGGGACAATATTATGGAACTTAGAGCACTGAATTCCAATATTCAAACCTCGAGTTTGAACATGACAGTTTTGAAGTTTTGAACTGATTTAGATGTCGCCTGTGTGGCTCTGACGGAAGTGGACACGGCTGGCTCCCAGTGACAGCCCAAAGCTCTGTGCTGTGCAGTTTCATTCTGTGGACCTAAGGGAAACAGCGATAATTTAAAATATGACAAGCAAACTTTAAATTATCCAGTGCCTCTTTACCGCAGGCGAGGTCCTTCGAGCCTGCTGTCCGTTAGTAAGAGGGGACGGGGCTCCGAATAAGGTCTGTGTTTGCTGTGTGTAGCCACGACCCCCTCAGCTGCCCTTGATGTCAGCTCTGCATCATGGACAGGGGACGCCGGGGCCTGCAGCCTGCGGAGCCGCCAGGAGCAGCCGAGCGCGTCCCACCGTGCACCCAGGCAGCATGCACAGCGCCCACCATAGAGACCACAGCCACCAGCGCTGCGCTCGGCATGAAATGAGGTCACCTCATGTTAGAGACACGATGCGTGACAACCGCCTTCACGAGATGAGAGGAGAAAGCGGACCTTTGCGCATCTCAGAAAGCGAAAGCAAAACGAAGCCCAAGGAAATAACAGGTTTATGAAACATGTATCTATACAGCGAAAGCAAATGGGAAGGACAACGGAACACGGCCAAGAACGTGAGGGTCACGGAGTCCAGGTGTACCAGCGCCGGGGGGGGGGCATTCTCTTTGGGGCTAGTTACCACGTTGGCTTTGCTGTTTATCTGTGGGTATGCAGAAAACAGAAACAGAGACGCCTTAGACCCTCGGCGCAGGGTCTCTACATGCAGCACGTCTACGTGGAGACAGACGCGAGAACGAGGGGTCCCTGAGGACGAACGTGAAGGACCCGGCAACGGCCACAGGGCTGGTGACCGAGGCCGGTCCCTGACGGGCACACACGGGCTGGGGCCGCGTCTGCGACAGTGCGGTGACCGAGCAGGCTGCGTGGGCTCTGCCACCTGAGCAGACAAAGAGCTGCTTCGGGGCACAGGTCAGTCCCAGCGCGTGCCGGGGACGGGCGTCCGTGGCCTTGGGCGGGGCTGTGCGGCCCGGCCCGCCTCCTGCTGCTGGCGCCCTCACGCGTGCTTCTCCGCCTTCTGCTCGGGGGCCCGGGCCGCCAGACGCCGGCCTCCTCTGGGGAGCCGGCGCCACCTTGTCTGGCAGGTAGCCAATCAAAACTTAGCTCTTCTGATGAAATCCAGGTTCTACAATACATTTTTAAAATGATGAATCTGGGTCTCCTTTAAAAAATACATCTTCAATTATAAATGGGCAAACCCAAGGCTTCACTATATTCCGATTGTAACCGTGACTTTTTTCACAATTGTTTCAGAGGAAAACACTGTTTCCTGTCAAAGTGTTCCTGCCACCGTGAGGGCCACATCTGGTAATGTCGGTCCCTGGCTCTAACATGACAGTGCGGGACCTGCGCTGCGAGGGGAACAGAGCCAGGAGGTCCTGTGACGGGCCCCGGGGATAAATGGACACAAGGGCCGAAGGGGAAACATACTGCATGACAGTGAGCGCCAAACGAGCGTCTGTGAGCAACTACGCCACTGAAGCATTTGGGCGTTCTGGGGGTTCCCCTCTTTCCTGTTTTTTACCCACAGAGCATGTTGACACTGGCATCGGAAGGAATACAGAAGGCTCAGACACCCGGCTCGGTACGTGTGCTGGGCGTTTCCGCTCGCCCACCTTTGTGAGGTTGTCTGGCGCATTATTTGAACAGGCTGTGCTACTGTACTGTGTGACATGCAGGGAGAGAGAGAAAACTTGGGTGCTCCTTCCTGGAAAACTCTTTCAATATTAAACCATCAATCTGCATTTTGCAGAAAGTCTGTTTAAAACTTTTTTTCAAATAGAAGTGTACAGAATTAACAAAAATTCATGCAACAGCGAAAAAGAGAGAAGAGAAAATGGAGTTTGTTAAGGAAGTGTCAAAATTCAGCATCCCTCCGAGTACGTAACCGACGAGAGATGCGGCGGGACGCGCGCAGGTGCCCTGGGCAGGAGGGGCGCCTGGCGACGGACGGCTTCTCACCCAGGGTCACAGGGACCACGGGTAGCGCGTGCGTGGCTTAATACGCTGCACTCGGTTCAGAGCAGTGGACCAGCAATGAATGGGGAATTCTGCATTTTTATTTCTGCTGTGAGACAAGACAGTTGCTTTTTCTCTGGGATGAGGTTGCCAAGAACTGCTTTATTTCAGTGAAAACGTCCCACGCGCACACCTACACACACTTATCTGCGCAAATGCACACATACATCCCACACGTTTGCACACACACCACTGTCTCCGCCACGCTTGGCGTTAAAAGCATTTTTGTTAATGTAAACACTAGCCTGATCCTTTCCTACTGAAGGAAATCTTTCGCAGGCATTTGTAACATTCACAACATTAATGTGAAAAGTCCGGGAGGACCACCTGTCAGGGAGACGGGCGGCGGGTCCAGGTCCGGCCCAGCTGCGTGGAAAACAGTCCGGAACATAGCACGTGGGTCCGCAAGGGGCAGTTCATTCATACTATGGAAGTGGTGTTTTTCTTTTTTTAAAAATGACTTCAAATCAGGTTTTTAAATGATGCACTGAGTTATTCTCACGAGGAGGACAAGGTATTCCTGCTTCTCGGGTGCTAAGTGCCTCAGTTTCCTGGTTAACACACACTTCTGCCAACGGCGCCTGGGTGGGGCGCACGGCAAGGCCGCATGCACGCCGGCCGCAGGCTCCGTGGAGGGCGCCTCCTATGCCGGCAGTCACGAGTTCATCGGTCAGTCCACAGACGTTAGTAGTCACGTCGCTCCACTTTCAAGAGGAAATTGGACCCTGTCCTTGTAAAAGACCCTTTAATAACATATGGATGAAGGTGTGAACTTCTTAGATGATTTAAAAATTCAATTTAGAAGGAAAACAGTATCGTGAGCGTGAGAACTGCGCCTTGACGGTTAATTATCAACGACCTGCACTTTCTCTATGTGACCAACTCAGGTATGGTTTTCCAGGGGGACCCAGCAGGTGGGGACCGTCGCCGTCACCTGAGCTCTCGAATCGGACTTCCTTTTCTGAACTGACCAAAGAGAAGGAGAAAAAGACACTGACGTTTAAACGCCACAGCGTGGGGCCCAGGATAACTCTGTCTTTAAGAGGAGCTGTGAGTTGGCCAGGAGAAGAAAGCTCGGGAAATGCTGCTGCACACAGAGCAGTGACATTAAGCATCTGAACGGGGCTGCGCCCTGTCACCGAGCGGCAGAGGCGCAGGTGAGCAGGACGTCTGGAAAGCTTCAAACGCCGCACCTGCACCAGCGCGAACTGGGAAGAAGGCAGACGCTGGCCGTGACTGCTGACATTTAAAGTGACGGCTGGGAAAGGCGGATGCAGTCCTAAGGGGACATTCCCCGGCCACACAGGATGACGGCTGGGGACACCAGTGACAAATGGCTTTCTATGTTGCATTTTCAAAACGAACGGACCCCCTGACTTTGGGTCAAGTTCAAATGTTAGGATATTAACTAACTCCCAAGAGTGCCGAAGGCATCTGCCCCTGGCGGGGAAAGAGGCACCGAAGAAGCAGGGCAGCGGGCAAGAGAGGGAACACGTGACCCGATGTCTGGTCACGTCCAGTCAGAGGCAAATCCCCACGAAGCAAAATCCAGCCAACGGAACATCGCTGGATTATTTCGTTTAGAGACCCAAGAGCGGCAAAGCATCCCTCACCGTCTCCCTTGGAACCTTTCTGACACGCGCTCACGGCTGCGCCTTGGGCACATCCCGACGCCTCCCGCAGAAGCACGGGAGGCCGAGGCACGTTTGTCACCTGACTCTAGGCACCCAGACCCAGCGGTTTGGTGTTTTGGGGCCCTGCACTGTGGATTTTGGGGACACGACAGAACTGCTTGCAGCAGTGTTTGGGGTTCGGAGAGTTTCGGGTCACCAGGGTAGCTGGGGACCATAAGAAAATGAGAGGATTGAGATGGTTTCTACAGCAACTCCTTAGAGAAGCATCATTTTGTTATGATTATTTAATGTGTGACGAAAAAGAAAAAAATATCGCTTTCCTTGGCATGAGCATTAGTCATCTTTGTGTATTATTTCATACTTCAACCTGTATTCTTTATAGGAGCTATAAAAAAAAAACAAAAAAACAACAAGCAGCAAAGACTTAGCATGTTTAACATTTTAAAATTTCCAGTATCTGAAAATCAGAAACGCTTTTAGGAGTGGCTGTGCGACTCACCTTCACCCCGTCCGGCTTCTTCAACAAGCTCTTGGCTGCTGCAAGACCAAAGTGAGACCGTTTTAGTGACCTGTGCACAGAAGCCCACAGCCCGGCCCGGTGGCCATGTCCCTCCCACCTTCACTGAGCACGGCCAGCACACGCCGCGTCACGGAGCCTGTGGCTCGTGGGGACGGGGACGGGCGCTGCTGTCCGTGGCCCTGCCACGCCAGACCTGGGCTCGGCTCCTGCTCGGCGCACTGCGTGTGGCAGGACACGTGGCCGGCTGGCACTGGGCTCGTGCCGCTGCTGGCTGTGGAAAGGACACTGGGCCTGTCCCCGGCCTGTGCCCCGTAGGCCTGGAGCTGGTTTCAGCCTTCGGATGTCGACTCGCAGGTTGTCACGTGCTCACTCACGGAGGCGGTGGCCACGTCAGTTCTGCGCTCTCCTTGGAGGTTTACAACTTATTTGTGAAAATTTGCTCTGGTTAAATACCATGTTTGTTTTAATATCTATTTTGAAATCAGACCATTTCTTTTCTACAAAAAATATTAAGAATTATATTTAAAATGAAATGCTGTGTTATTAACCTAGAGCAGTTTTTTAAGGCCTTGGAAGCCTGGAGCTGTGCATCTTCTACACCCCTGAACCGGAACAGGGAGGCTTCACAGGCAAGAGCCTTTCGCATCGAAAAGTTAAAAATCATAAATTTGAGGCAAGGTCTGAAACAGAATGAAATCTTCAGCTAAGTCGGAGACCCCTGAAGGGCGTGTTTCCCTGACACTCCCCGTTCGTGGAGAGGGTGCCTGCCCTTCCCGCCATTCCTCAGCAGCTGTGGGCCGAACAGTGACGTCGTCCTTCCAGAAACGCGCTGTGGACAGCACGCCAGTCACTCAGCTCGGTGCCGACCCGTGCACTGCGTGCTCAGCCTTTCGGACGCACAGGACGCGGGGCCGGCGCCTGCAGCCAGTGCTCGCTGTGTGCACGGCCACGTGAGCACCTCGGACAAGACTGGGCGTCTGCCCGGGACGCCTGGCTGTGACGAATCCGCAGGAATGTGTAACGGCCTGACAGCCTTTTCATTTGGGACGTTGCTTTGATATTTTGGGTATAATTTTATTATTTAAAAGATTCAAAAATGTTAATTTTGTTGAGTCTTCGGCAACGACGCTATTAATTTATTACTGAGATTGCGAGAAACAGTCTCCTCAGCGGCGGTGCCATGTGTCTGGAGCTAGAAGGCAGCAATAGAAACGCTGTGGCAGCCACTCGGAGCCACCGGAGCCGCCACGGCTCTGGGGCTGGGCAGGGCCGGGGGACGGCTGCCGTCCCCCTTACCCCCAGAGCACGTTCCACACAAAACAACTGCGTAACCACGGACTCTGGACACACTGCACAGCACGTCTGGCAATGAAACAGACGAACGAAACAGCCCAGACCGCAGGGGCGTCAGTGCGCGGTGACGGCGTCTGACGCCCGGTCATCGGTGATGAACTTCACGCTCCGAAACGGCAGGGAGCTCGCACGTTACTCAGGAGTTTTTAGTTTACGTGGTGACGAAAGGAACATGTGACGTTAAAAAAGCTTCTACATGTGGCTGCATATATTTCTAAGAGGCCCAATTTGTGCCTAAGAATATATTTAAGACTTTAACAAAATACCATCTTTAGTCTCGGTATTTTTTCAAGTTAGTTTGTCATCAAGAACATATGCCATGTAAAATCCTCCCCCCTCTTAGTGACTCACTAATTACTGGGCCACGGGGAAACATTCATTTATTTGGCATAGTGTGTTTTAGTTGGTATTTAATGAGATGAACTGAGGTTACTCACATAAATGTCAGCTGTCCCTCAACCAGGTAACTTGACACAGGAGGTAATAAGAACCGTGCCAAGCTACACCAAACACACCAGGACCACTACACACGCTCACACTCGCTGTGCTACTGTCCCGGCCAGTTACCAGCTCGCGGGGCCTTCAGGGGCTTCCTACTGATGGCTAAGCACAGGGGGACGAAGCGACCATCTGATGCCGTCGTGAGTGGTAACCACAGATTGGCTGGGGGGTTTGAGAGCAGCGACGACGCTGTGTTCTGTCACCTGGGGTCACAAGGCCAGGCGAGGCAGGTAGCAGGACTAAAGAACGAGAAACTCCTGGCGAGTCTGATGCTGCAGATCACCCCCATGGGGACAGCGAGCGAGTGGACCGGTCGTGTTTCTGGCACAATCATTCAACAACTGTCCCCAGTCTCCACACCCAGAGCAGCTACTGCGCTGCCTCGGTCCTTCCTCACATGGGAGGCCGACTGGCCTTCGCCAAGGTCGGACTCGGACCTCGGTCCATGACTCAGATAATCACGTCCGCCATGGAGAGTCACTGCCCCGACAAGCACATGGTCAGCTCCCTCAGCCCCAGTTTAAGACTTATTTCCACCACGGGCCCCTGCGGGGACATCGACCCCCGCGTCGGGGGGCACGGCTTCTCCGGGAACTGCGCCTCGACGCCTCGGGCTGTGAGCGTCCACGGCCGTGCACTGCACCCCCACCCACGATCTCTAAAACCTCGCCTTTGGGGTTCCCGACGAGAACGAGACAGAGAAACGTACTCGCCGTCGCTGCCGTGTGAATGGGGGGCCCGTCAATCCCTGGCTGGACGCGTGGGGAGGCTGCGGCCACACGCGCCCTCTCGCGGTGCCCTCGGTGGCAGGCCTCTCCCCCTGCACCCCCCACCAGGTCACCACCCGTCAGTCACCTGCTGACACCTCTGTGCCGCCCCCCGTGGCCCAGTCACCCCTGAACAAAGGGACAGTGCTGCTCCCATGACCGTCCCCCAGTCCCAGAGGCGCCAGACGGCGTAAGAGAGGCCGTGAGGATCCCCGGCACGTGTACCTGAGAAGTTCCTCGTGGCCAGCATCGTCGTCAGGATGGCGCCCTGGCGGAGGAGAAAGGCACTGGTCAGCGTCGCTTCTGCAGCCCGACCGGCAGCAGGGCCTCGGGGGCAGCCTCCGGCCCCCTGCACCGCACGCTTCGCTGTCTCCCGGGAGTGGCCGGCCCCTCGTGACGGTGGCCGCCTGGCACAGCTGCTCCACTGACGGAGGAGTCGCAGCCGCAGCCAGGTGCCCACTCGTCATGAGGGTTTAATCTGGTGTGTCCCGTTTCCCCTGGACCTGTCACTCCAGGAGCTGCTGCCCAGATGG